GTAATTAATCTGTAACGTAAAAGAAATATTGACAAATAGAGAAAGGTCTTTCATCCCAACATGTGCATAATGCAATGTGTGGTAACTGCATAAAGGGTTAAGTTGTTAAAAAAGTACAATAAAATTTAATAATATGCATTTTCCAGGGCCAGGCAATAAGCATGACATGATGGCGCAGGCCAGCATGAGAGACTTTCAAGACACTAGACAAGATTGTCAGTGGCCCAATCAGGCAATTGGTGGCTCATCAAGAAGATTATAATTTGTCCATAAATGTTTGTCAATATACATGCAAATGCAATCTTAAAATCAAGCAGCAGCACGAGCAAAATTAAAAACGTTTTTGCAGGAGTCTTTCAGGGGTTGTAGCACTCTTCGAAATTGGGGAGTAATCACAAAACCATCACAAAAACACTGCAAAAAGTCAACAGGGTCACAAGCCATGTGCTGAAATAAACAGTCAAAAATTTGAAATGAACCAAAAGTAAAGCTATAAGGAACCCATTCTCATTCAGTGATGTCATATTCAAAAACTGTAGCCTACCTCGAGTTCAGTGTACTCTATAAAAAATGTATAATAATAATTTAAAAAAGCATTTTTGCCTAATTTTAAATCATTATACACAAAGATAGAACGAACTTCAAATCAAAAACTAATAGCTACAGAACTATATAATTTCAGGCAATAATATCCTCCAAGCCTGAGTTCCCCTTCGGTTGGGGAACTTCAGTGCTATAAGTGGATTTGATTTGAAAATCCACGAATGAGAGGATTCGGTTCAGAAGCCGCTTGTCTGAAAGAGTATTGAACGGGCCAATGAATGCAATGAATTGGCAGCGTAAGCTTGCACAGGTGTGCTTCATTGCCAATTATCCCAGCATATAAGCACACCTGGAGCGAGCAAACGCCATCCTTTTCGCTTCAGAGACTTTCTGATTGAATCGATGAGGGTTCCTCCTGCTGTGACCAGCAATTCTGAGCGAACGAAAGCACTCTCCCTCTCCAGAGTGTGTACACGCAGAGGCAGACGGTCGAGCTGGGTTTCTCCCTTGCCTGGCGTTCTTTGGGTCCGGTCCTCCAGAGCGGTGCGTATAAAGTTGCAAACTTCACAGAAAGAGCAACACAGTCGTGCAGCACATCCTTTTCAGGACGGCGCTCCGACTGTGCGTTTCTGGATGCGGTGGTTTCCTGTCCTCGGATGATGGGCACGGGCACTGCGTTACATGCCTGGGGGGTCCAGCATGTTAATGCGCTGCTTGCGGGCAGTAAAGATCGTGGCTAGCCTTTGCAAAAGGGCGAACCACCCCAGTTGTCCCCTGCTCTACAGCTGGCACTCGGGCAGATCTGAGGGTTTCAGCGAGAGATAATCCGTCGCCCACGGACCTCCCGTTTCTCTAAGCGCTCCATCCAAGCATCGGGCGGGGGAAGCGATCCGTCTAACAGATGGTAGCCCTCACGCCCGATGACACCGGAGACCGTCCACCGCGGCAACGGAGGGTGGGCTTTCATTGTCCGATGATGATCCAGACCCGCTCGCCCCCTTCGGGCTGGTGAGCGCTGTCACTACGGATCCTGAAACGGACATGTTAGCCGTGCTTTCCCGGGCTGCTTCGGCCGTGGGTTGGAGATGGTTTATCCCCCAGCTCCGCGGCCGGACCGACTAGAGGGGCGTTCCCTTCTTCCCGGAGGTGCACAGTAGGCTCACGCGGTCTGAAAAGCACTTTTTTCTGCTAGTGCTGCGTGTCCCTTCACCCTCACCACTCTTGACGATGGAACAGCCAGGGCGGTCAATCCGCGCGGCGCCTCTTCTTGGCGGGGTCCGCCTCGTCTCCCATCCAAAGCCTGTAAGTTATCTGCCTCCCTCGGAGCTAGAGCTTACATAGCTGCGGGCCAGGCTGCTTCCGCCCTACATGCGATAGCCACCTACAGCGCTACCAAACGCAGGCACTGGCCGAGCTGCATGAGGGTGGGTCCAACCTAGGCTTACGAGCTTCGCACCGCCGCTGACTTAGCTCTTCGGACTACTGAGTCTGCTGCGTGTGCGTTGGGGAGGACGATGTCCACATTAGTGATCCAGGAGCGCCACTCCTGGCTGATATGCGCGAAGTCGACAAAGTCCGCTTTCTTGACTTCCCCATATTCCAAGCCATGTTCGGCCACACCGTCTGTGAATTCACCCAGGAATTCAAGGCGGTGAGAGAGCAGTTGATGGGTGATGTCTTGTCGGCGGTCCGTAGCCCGCTCCGCCCGCCGTGCCATTCATACCTGCTCCTCGCCGAAGGCGCCCGCCTACGAGAGCTGCTCCGCCCCCGCACACGCCTCAGGCCATCTGGAGAAGAGGGAACTTGCTCTTTCCCCGCTGGAGGGCGGGCCCCAGTTCCAACAGCACTTTTTACTGCCATGAAAACATCATGAAAGGGCACTTTTTCTCTTCCCCGGATGTGACAGCCTGAAATCTGCCAGTCTGGGACGCTATGCTTTCTAGCTTGCAGATTTGGTGCGTTTCGCCAGTGGCTCACGAGCGCTGGGAGGACGGTCTCCTATCTCCCACCCCTCGAGCCTCCCCTCCGGAGCTCGGGTGCGGAGTGAGATCAAATATCTCACCTCCAGCTTTTCCGTGGGACCCGCGCGCTTCTCGGATCAGCACACCCACTCCGCGCTGCCCCACTGCTGGTACGTCAGCGATTGTAGCGATGAGTCCATTACCGAGAGCTCTGCCTGCCTGGTTAGCGCGGGCCAGCTCTTCGCGGTGGCTCATACGCACAATCAGACTCGGCTATGCGATTCAGTTCGCGAAACGGCCCCCCAAGTCACGGGTGTGTATTCACCAGGGTCAGCCCCCTGTCCGCCCCTGTCTTGCGAGAGGAGATTGCTGTCCTCCTGGCGAAGGAAGCTTCGCATCCTCTCGAGCGCGAGCATGCGTCGCCTCTCTAACAGACATCTGTAGAGCTGCGGGCTGGGCGACACCCAACACATTTTTACAATCTGCGAGTGGAGCCGGTTTCCTCAAGGGTATTAGGTAACCCTTGGTGATTGAGGAAACAATTCGGTAGGGTGTTGAAAAACGCTTGCTGCGCCATTCTCCCTAACACGGAGGTACGTGTGCCTTTTTATCTGTCAGTAAAGTTCCCCGTCAGGTGAGCCCTGCAGATTCCTCCGTGGCCCCCAGCACTGACTCAGCGGAGGAGTCACTTGCTGGCCCACTACGTTGTAGGTCTGCCCGCTGGTCAGCCCACGTTTTGGGTATAGGTGCCTGCTATGCGTGATACCCACCAGGCGATCCCATATGCTTATTCCGCCACAGTTAAGTCCCCCCCCCCGGGCGGACCCGTGTCTTCCCTCTCCGCTAACCACTCTTTTGCTATGCGTACTCCCCCTTTATAGGGCTAGTCCATATGTAAATTCTGCAATCTATCTCCCCTTGGGTAACGGATGGCCTCTGCAGCGTCCTACCTATCGGGATTGCACGCTTCCAAACGTACTGTTGTATTCCTAGAATTATCTAGATGCTCACGACTTCCCAAAAAATATATCTAAATCCGTAAGACTTCTGTTGAAGTAGGATAAGTTAGGGCCAGGGACACGTTGGAGGACCGCGCCTCCCATCATGTGGGTGCGTCATGCTTGCTTGACTATCCCCTCATCGGGGGCGTTGGTAAGGTGCAGTCATTATGGCGCTTTCCATAGTTCTCCCATTCGTGGATTTTCAAATCAAATCCACTTATAGCACTGAAGTTCCCCAACCAAAGGGGAACGTTCGAGGTTACAGAAGTAACCCTTCGTTCCCCGAGGAGGGGAAGGGAAGTGCTATGCTCCGTTCGCCATAATGACTGTTCCTTAGCTGTTTGAAAGTCTCTTCAGCTTAAAAGGATGGCGTTTGCTCGCTCCAGGTGTGCTTATATGCTGGCATAATTGGCAATGACGCACACCTGTGCAAGCTTACGCTGCCAATTCATTGCATTCATTGGCCCGTTTAATACTCTTTCAGACAAGCGGCTTCTGAACCGAATCCTCCCATTCGTGGATTTTCAAATCAAATCCACTAATAGCACTTCCGTTCCCCTCCTTGGGGAACGAAGGGTCACTTCTGTAACCTCGAACGTTTTAAAAAGAAACCAGCATTTGCTGATGTCTATGAGATTCACATACCTGGAACATGCCTAAGAATCAACTCATAACATAGGAAAGATAAACTAAAATCACATTCTAAAGTTCACCATATACTCCTGTGGCAGGAAAAATTATATATATATATATATACATATATAAAATCTAGATCCAAATTAACAATGATTTGTAACTGAAAAGTTACATTCTTTGTTTTTTTTAATTATATTATTTAAATAAAAACTATAACAGCTCAGGAGTGACAAACAGTAAAACCTTTTGCTTCCTAAACACTGGCTGAGCCAAAGTGATGCACATGCTACTGGCAGGGTCTCAACGACTGTTCTTTTGTCATTGGGTGATACTTTCAGGCCAAATTAACCTTTTTGTTGAGAAACTTGTACAGTCCGTAGCTGGGCAGGTTTCTAACCCCTATACATGTAAATGGGCACTATTATGTCAATGAGATCAGGGTTGGAAAATGCAGTTTATCTTGCTCACTTCAATCTTAAATTACATGCTTTGTTCAGTCATCTCGACCTTAACACCCCTTCTCCTAAAGACATAATATACTGCAGGCAAGACAGCTTTGTCTCAAATCAGTTTCATTTTAGACTTGATTTCAGACCAGCTACAGACTTGTGAAAGACTTTACAGACTACTCTCCCCGCTGTAAGAGATTCCTTTAAGCTCTTGCAGACTCATGGACTTCTTGAAAATGCTTTATGACTGCAGACTAACTGACACGTCACAATAAAGAATCTCTGCTTGTTTGAGTGTTCTGGACTGGGTTCTCTCATCAGTCATTATTTTTACAACACTCCATATAACACAGAAAAGGCTATAAATTGACATGATGAATAAACTTTATATATGTTAATGTAGTTTTTACCAATCTGATGCCATTTTCAAAGGCCTGTCTGGCAAGGGAAGCAGGGCCATCCACAGTTTTACCATCATCATCTGGACCCCAGCTGGCACTGTAAATATCTATGTGCTGAGGGTGTAGACTCAGTGATTTGGCCTCTACCATGTCTGTAACATCTCCATCCAACATCCGGACACCTGCAAGATAAGCCAAAAATTAAATAAATCTCAAGAGGAAAATCATGTCCAAGACACTAAGGATCAGTACACCAACAAAGAAAGATTGTTATTTAAGAATACATTTACCTAACAAAGATAATTAGTAACAATCAGGTTACAGTATGCCGTTTTTTAAAACTGTATATTTATTTTAAAATTCTGAACAAAATATATCAGTTTCCACAAAAATATTGAAGGTGCAGAATTCATTAATATGGCATTAAAAATTTTCAAAACTGAACCCTTTCCTCTCCCAAATGGTAAGCTGTCAATAATTATTTCATTATTGTCAGTTTTAATTTTTCTATAAAAAAAGAGCTTGCCTGTACATCAGTATCTTAGAATTAAAATAAAAATCCACTGAAATCAAACAGTTTTGCTCTAACTCTAATTAAATATTTCTGATCCAATCTTTAAGACTACTAAAAACTTCAAAACAGAGCAGGTTTGAGCAGAACTATACAGAGCAGTGACCTCAGGGAAAGAATTTTACACTCTGAAAAATATGGGGTTATTTTTTTCTACCCAAATCTTGAGTTGAGGCATTTGGGTAATTTTTGGAGGGTTATTTTTAGAGTCTTGGGTAGTTTTAACCCAGCTCCTTGGGTCAAATCTACTCACAGCAGGGGCTGACTGGGATACCACATATTATATACTAGTTTTTTTAAATGAAATGAAAATATAGCATAAACACAGGTTCCTTGCCATGTCAGATGATTAAAAGAGATTTATGCTCATATTACCAACCGAGCGCTAAACTGGTAATGTAGGTTGTCTGGAACTGGTTGGTTCTGACCTGCAACTCAGCTGTAACCTTGCAATGGCCCCAATAAGCACACGTGAACATTTCTCAGCGACAAAAGAAAAAAATAAGCAAAAGGCTAGAGCGTCACAGCATCACAAACTACTCAAAATAATGAACCACAACGCAATGTTTATTGTTCGGATATCACTACGGCTTTATATACAAACAATCAAAACAGAATAAATTAAACAACCCTTCTGAGTGTGATGCTTTATAAATTAAAACATGATCAGAGGTAAAAACTATTGATTTAAATTCAGATTCATTCTAGATAACGTTTATTTATTTATCTAGTCATTAAACCATGTTTAATCAATTCATAGACTGTTCTATTTTGACTGCAGCAACTTTCACGAGAAACTATTAAACAGCATGTTAATTTGTTGAGTTGTTGTGTTTTTGCTAAGACTCAGGGTGGGAGAATAGTGATATATATATATATATTAAATATAGTTAAAATAAATATAAAAAAATTAACTTCTTTCTAAAGAAATTAGTGCACTATTTTCTGAAGAATGGAGTTTTATCATTCTGAGTTTATTCAACTCTTGTGAGTATGAATGCATCCTGGTGGAGTTTTAATTCATGTCAAAAATGGTCTTCAAAGTCAAAAAATAGACACTGGTGACCTTCTTAAATGTGTAGGGATTACTATTAATCTGCCCCCTGAAATGTCTTTTGTTGTTTGGGTGATTTACCAACCTCCAACTGCTGCAAACTATTTTTTTGATTCTCTTTGTAAAATTCTTAAACAGTGCGACGGAAAGGAGGTAATACTCATGGGTGATTTTAATCTAAATTGGTTAGACAGAACACGAAGAAAACAACTAAAGGAAAAAAAATTAATGTTTTCAAATGACACAACTGGTAGAAAAGGCAAAACAGATAAACAAAGTCTATTAGATTTAATTTTTACAAATAACCAGAGAGAACAAATAAAATATATAATCTAATAACAGGACTGTCAGATCAAAATCTAACCCTTGTAGCGAAAAAATTGACTAAAGCCTGTTATAGGCTACAAAATCTAATTAAAAGTAAAGCATGTATAGCATTTATTCCAAAACAAGGCCTACTGAATGTTGAAAGTGAAATAAGGCAAACAAATTAGGAATCTATTATTGAAAATAAATTATGTGATGAGGGTTTTCAGAATTTACTGTCTACCCTAAAAAACATATTAATAAAACATTAAAAAGCACTAGTAGAAAACTAAAAACACAACTTACCTTGGTTTACAAGTACTCTATGGTATATGATGAAAAAGTGTGATGGCTCTTTGAAAATGTTCTTAAAATCAGGATTAACTACGGATCGATTAATTTATACAAGTCCAAGGAATAAAGTAATATCTGAAATTAGAAAAGCTAAAGCAAACTTCTTTCTTAAAATTATTGAAAATAGTAAAATAATATGGAAAACTTTTAACAAATTAACTGGAAAAGAAAAGTCGAGAGTAGAGGATATACAGCTTAAAATAAATAGACAATTTATTTATAACTCTGTAGAAATTGCAACTAATTTTAATGAATATTTCTTTAACTCTGTTCTGAAACTTGCTGAACATTTTCCAGTTGTTCATCCATGTTCTAGCCTAAAAAGCAGCCAATATTATTTTTTCTCTGAGTCCCACAGATGAAATAAATGTTCAAAAAATTATTTCCACATTGAATAATAGTAAAGCAAAAGATGTGTATGGCCTTTTAAAAAAGATAAAGATATTTTTGGTTCTCCTTTCACAAAAAATTATAAATCCATAAATGATAGTACTTTTCCCAATGCTTTAAAAATCTGCAATAATAAAACCAATATATAAATCAGGTGACAAACAGCAAACTAGCAGTTATCGTCCTAAAAGCATCCTACCAGTTGTATCAAAAGTACTTGAAAAAATTGTAGCAGAGCAACTTATGGCTCATTTAGATGGGAATTCTCTCTTACATCCTATGCAGTTTGGTTATAGAAAAAAAAAACCTTCAACTGAGACAGCTTGCTGTTACTTTTAAGAAACGATAAAAACAAATTCAGATAAAGAGGGTTGGTGGGAGTAGTCTTTCTTGATTTACGTAAGACATTTGATACTTTTAACCATGATACTTTAATTAGAAATTAAACAATTACAATCTTTTAAAGCAAACACTAAACTGGATAAAATTGATCGGAGTCACTGTGTTCAGGTTAACAATCTTAAGTCTACTTTTAAACCAATTAAATTAGGAGTGCATCAGGGATCTATTTTAGGACCTTTACTTTTGAGTATTTATATAAATGATTTACAAGCTATATGCATTGACGCCGATTTATTAATGAACGCTGGTGATGCTATGCTTTACACTTATGGAAAAAAATCCAACAGAAGTTGCTACTAAATTAACAAATGAAATGTGAAATGTATTTAAATGGTTGCAAAATTTAAACCTTACCTTAAATGTTGAAAAGACTGTATCCATGTGTTTCTCAAATAGGTATAAAAATGGAAATGTTTTAGAATTTTTTAAAAATGGGCAAAGTATTAAAAATGTCACTGAATTTAAATATTTAGGCATCACATTGAACTCAAACTTTAATTTTAAAACTCATATATAAAAACTTGCTACCACACTGAGATTGAATCTAAGAAATTTTAAACATATCAGAAATTCTTTAACTTACGATGCCTCTGGTATGTATTTAAATACTATGATTGTTCCAAATTTTTTGTACTATATAACGAGCTGGTCTCAGACATGTAAATCATCTTTTATACCTTTTATAATCATTATACATGAAAACACTTAAAGTACATGATAAAAAGCCTTGGTTGTACCATCACTGCAATATCTTAAAAAAACATAGTCTCTTAAGTTTTGATAATATTATTAAACATTCCAATATCTGTTTTGTTTTTTAAATTATTCACAATCTTTTTGCTCCATCAATAAAAACATTTTTAAATTCCAAATCCAAGAAAACATCGCGAGTGTTGGGTTCTATGGTAAGAGGGTAAAGTATTGTCCCTAGACGTAAGAAATCTTTTGGTCAATCCTTTTTTATTTATAAAGCCACAAATCTATGGAATTCTCTTCCAACAGAAATAATCACATGTACAATCTATAAGATGTTTTTACGCCTGACTGGGAGGTGGTTTTTGTCCAATCAAACTTGTACACTGAGTGAGATGTTTTTGAGTTGTTAGTGTTTTAGTTTAAATGCGATTATGCCTGAATGTTTTAAACTGACTTTTTATCTAATTTGATATTATTGTTTTAATTCTAACTTGTGCAGGGACTGGAGGTGGAAATTAGCAATCCTGCTACAACCTGGCACATAGCATCTTTCCTCCTTGAGGTTAATGAAATTTTTGTGCATTGTCCCTGTTAAATAAATAAATTAATTCATTCATTTTGTTATTCTTCTAGTCTTTTATCATAACAGCTAATAAATTGTAAGTTTAACAGAATTGCAGATACAAGCATACTTTCTTGTTGCAAAATATGGTGGATAATTGACAATGCCTAGATAAAATGTGTAGAATTATTAACAATACCCACAGTCTAATTCAGGTTTTCATGTGTGTTTTGTGTTCATAAAAATTTTTGAAATGTATTTGCAGGAAACATGGTATGCCCAAAGCTGAAATAACAGACCAGTCCTGGATACATGGAAGAGAGACTGAGGAACATACGAAAGCATCTGAGGCACTTGAGAAAGGCACAAGAAGAGAAGGAAGATGTACCAAGCAGGACAGTCATGCCAGGTAATGGGTAGCCTTCATTTTTAAAACAGTAATTTTAAAAAATGCAATCTTAAACCTCATAACTTTAAGATGTCAAGTGAAAATGAGTTTTTTTATTTAGCTCATACTTATTGTATTAGGTAGCCAGCGCCCTTAAATAATGCTTATATAAAAACAATTAGTACAATGTACTTTTTGTGTTCATATTTTTTTTTTCAAACCCTTTTGCTGATGTTGAAGTGAAATACAGGTAATGTTTGGGACAAAAAGGTGTCGAGAATTTGTCAGCCAGTGCACGCTGGCATTTCAATTGCAACCCAGCAGCTTTCCCACAGAGAACAGTAAGGTATATATATTATCACTCTACTTACGAGCAAAGCTTTGAATTGGGCCACATTGTTATAGGACCAGAAATGTCCCCTTACTAACAACAGCACCAATTTCATTGCAGAGATGAAG